GCTAGTAGATAACTTTTACCTACCAATCAAATGTCAGCTGCGTTTTTTTTTTCTACTACAATAAGGACAAAGCATGGTGTTGTTCGGGTCATAGATAAAACTACCATATCTGTTAGTACGCTGATCAGCCCGACCAAGACGATTTTTTTCCTTAGAATGCTGAAGAAAACTTTTGCTATGATATTTGCCTCACGATAATCATATAATCATTTGATCTCAAGTGAGTTAAATGTTAAATGGAAAGAACTTTCACTGAACAATAAGTATTATGTGACTCTTTAACATTTAATATTAATAAATCAAGTGGTGATTGCTGAATGTTTTTATTAGTATTAAATGTTCAATAAAGCTGCTTAATGCTTGATAAAATTAAATCGCGTTAAACAAATGGTCCATACATAGTCCAAAAACAAAAAGCAGTGTTTTACAGGTAGTTTTTCGCGATAGAAATCGTTTGAAAGGTATGCATTCGATCATATAGTAGATGAGCCTTTTATCACAACCAATATCTTTTTTGATAGAGGTCTATAGACGACTAGTGTTTCAAAAGACGTAAATAAGCGGCTGGCTTTATCTACCTTTTCACCTTTTGTTGTATACAGTACGCAAAAATTGAATAGACAACAGTGCACACTAAATACATTTGGTCGTAAAAAAATACGTGTTCTCTCAATAATACTGCGATATGGCAAGCCTCGATTTCACTCAAAATCTTGACTTAGAGAATGCGACTAGTGCTGAACCACAATTAGAATTATCCTCATCACTGTATGGAGACCTATAGAAGCCGTAGTGTCTGAGGAGGCCGCGATTTACTCTTCGGAAATCGTAGTTTTATATTTTTAATATGACGAGAAAAATAATAGTTAACCACCCTGTAGTAGACTTTATAATGCTATACAGAGCCGGAATTTTAATTGCCTCAATCAACAACGACTTGATTAGGGTGATGAAAAAAAAACTAGGGTTTTTTCGACAATACTGACGTGTTCTGTCTGAAAATCCCATTGAATTAAAAGCTACTGCAGTTTCACTCAAATCAAAAAGTACGTTATTTAAACTAGACTGTATTTGCTAATCTAAATGAAGTTTGTCCATATGGCTTACATTTCAAAATACACAATAACAGTTAAAACCCCTCTCTTCCTTTTTTTTTTTTCAAATAATTCTTGATAATTCAATTTTTTTACCTTGCTGTTCTATTAAGAAGAAGCTTTTTCGTTCTTTCTTTGTTACTCACTAGCCATGAAGGAAAAAACCTTGCTCGTTCTTTTATAAATATTTGTTCCTGTTTCATTTCATTACCTGCATACACAGAAAAAATGTCGTCACCATCGTCGTTACCGTGTGTTGTTGAAAAATGTGAGCTAGCGTCTCTTGCTTTATGTCAGTGTTGTAAAAAAAATTTATGTATTGACCATTTAAATGAACATGCTAATCAACGCAATGAAAAACTTCTCCCATTTGTTGATAAAATCAATGTTTTATTAAATCGGTTTAGTAATTTTTATGATGGTGAAAACTCTGGCCTTAAACAACTTGATGAATGGAAACAAGCAGCTTATAAACTAATCGATACTTTTTATGAAAAAAAACGTCGAGAATTTATCGATGAAACAACTGATAAACAACGAGAACAACTTAATGAGATGCATAATAAATTAAAAGAATTAATTAGAAAAAAGGGTGGTACACAACAAGATTTTCATACATTCTCAGAAAATATGCGTTCGATGGAACAACATCTTGATAAACTTCAACAGATTCAAATTGTTCTTCCTCCATTAACAATGGATGACAATTGCTTTTTTCAGCCTTTAACACAGCAAGATGATTCAACTGAGAAAACTTTAAATCAGCCGAATAAGTCTCCAGAACCGACAAATAGAACATCAGAAAAGTCTTCAGATAAAAAGAAATCGTCCGAGAAATCTTCAAAGAAAAAGAAAAAGTCATCGAGACATTCAGATGATTCATCTGATAGATCCTCACGTCATAGAAGCAGATCACCACGTAGTCACGGCGAACATTCAAAAAAAAGTGAGTGCCAATGACACTAAAAATAGAAATCTATGTCAGCTGCTTTTTGGCATAAACATTTTTCAATTTAGTTGAATTAATTAAAGACTACGAGTTGTCATCCTTTAGGACGCGATAAATCATCAAAATCGAATTCACCTCAATCATCAAATGGCCACAAACCAAACTGTGATGATTGCCATGACTGTCGCTTTTATCAAGATCGGTTTGGTCCTGGTTTCATGGACTCTTTTGGTCCATGTTCATGTGATTGTCATAAATGGGCATATTCTTAAATGTTTCTCAACCTAATTCAACATTGTATTCGTCTAATGTTTTATCAAGACATTCTATCGATTTTGTGTTATGCTGTTATTAAGTATTTTATTAAATATTTGCTTTGTGATTGAGTACTTCTTTTTCTATACTAAGGCATACTTTTATATGAATGATCAAATTCATAGTGAAAAAACACAGCTTTTTACATATGTAACAACCATTATATAATCTTGATTTAATTATTCAAAAAAATGCCTAGAGAGTATTTTATTGATTGGTTTATTTTTAAATTCTCCAAAAAAAAATGACAATAGCCACTCTTATGATGATACATTTTTTGTCTCAATATTTATCTTTGTTACTTTTTTTTGTTCGATTTTATCCATATCAAAATGAAATGCGGGTGTAACCCATCTGCCGCATGAACATTTTGCACCATTTAGATTATAATTTCCTATAGTTACAGAACATTTCGGACATTTAATAAATTCACTATGACAATTTTCAGGTGTATCTATTTGTATCATCAACCATTCGAAACAATTAGTAAACACTTGTTGATGACATTCTACTTCGGGTAATAATTTGAGTAGTTTGTCATTACCATATTTCATAAACCAATTGTATAATCCAACTCCTTCTGAATGTCGTGATATATCAGCATTAGTAAATAACTCATGTTCACATTGACGACAAATATATGCTTCTGTTACAGTACATCTAGCATGACCATATGGTAGAGTAAACGCTTGACAAAATTTTTGACGAAGTTCGTTTTTTTTATCAATTCCTTCATTTTTTGTGTCATGATCAATATAAATAGAACGAGCACGTTCAAAATGAAATTCTTTGTACAATCCATGATTAACATCGAATTGATTGTTCATTTGTTCAAATAAATATAATTGGGCTGCAAAACTCATGTTTGGACTAATATGAGGACGTGCATGCATTAGTCGTTTTAATGCATCGTTAGCTGATAATTTATGTCGACGCATTAACCACATACATGCAATTGTAGCACTACGAGATACACCTAATGAAAATAAGACAAAAAAACAAAATTTTATTGAATATCTAGAAAATATTCTGTCACTGACCAGCAAGACAATGTATGAGTACATTATTATTTGAATTTTCTGATAATGCTTTATCTATAAAATCATAACATGAATCGAATTCAGTTAACAAATCTGTTGTTTCTTCATCTTCAACACGAATATGTTTACGTATGAAATTGTCATGTTCAATAATTGGTAATTCTGAGTTAATTAAACTTAAAATATGTGTGATATGAAGACTATCAAGTGCAATCGTACTCTCCACTGCAACAATGCTTCCAAGCCATACACGATCATCAATTAAATCGGCATCGAAATTCATCTATCTACAGATAAAAGAAAACATAAGCAAATATCTCGATCAATCTTATTGATATGATTAAGGACAGATTTCAATTGTTGCTTGAAGAAATCCTGAACAGAACGCAGATCAATCTCAAATCATCATGATAAAATTAACTTTTTTTTTCATTCTTATGATGGAATTTCCACCGAACCATGAAATAATTGCTATGAAGCCATTTTTTTTTTTTCGTTTTTTTTCTTCTTCTTCTACTTTCAGAGAAAGAATAAACGTAAAAAGTATTTTGACCATGTGATCTTATTTACATTTATTTCGCAACTAAACTGCAAGCATAATAATATACGTCGAAATATTTCTCATCGAAAAAAGAAAACAAACAAAAAATCAATTTTTTCTTATCGTTTATAACAAGAATTATTTTTTTTTTATTTCAAAAACAAAGGTTAATTAAAAATATCAATGTCTAATTGCCAATCATTTTTTCCTTCAGTAACATGTTTCCATATAACTTGATAATTGCCATGATCTAACGAATGTTTATATGAACTTGTTTCAATTAATCGATCTTGTCCAGCTTCTAAAACTGTACCCGTTGTAAGATGAAGATCTTTAATACCCGCATCTCGAGCACCTTGCCAAAATTTTTTAATTTCTTCACGACCTTGATATATATTCTTATCGGGTGGTAAAAGTTTTCCTTGTGATGTATAAAGTTTAACTAATTCATCAATTTTACCAGCATTAAAAAGTTCTTCAAAATGACGATTAGCAGCATCAATTATATCGAACGGTGTCGACATGATTTTGTTTTTATAAATAATCTGTTTCTTTTTTTTTTTGTATTATTCTAATAATATGAAAAATAAGAACAAAAATGATATATGTATATAGGTGAATTTTCTCTTGCAATAAACATAATAAAAAAAATCGAGTGGAGGACAAGTATTGTTTTCTTTTCTTGACCTAAATACATTGTGATTATGATTTATAAAAACGATTATCGCTCTTTCTATTTTTACGCTTCAACAATTACACATACGATAAATAGTCACAATAAACAAGAAATCAAATGCAAAAATTCGATAAAAACTGTACGATATAACTTTTTATAGCGTAAATATATTGAGACATAGAACAACAAAAAGATGCTTTATCACAAGATTAACAGTATTCTCAATAGGATATATAAATACAAAAAAAAATTTTCATTCATTGTTCATGTTACATCATATACTTACATGTAAAAGAAAAACATCAATCAAAATTATATGATATATAAATAGTTGAAAGAAAATGATTATATATTAACAATAATAAACACATGGAAAAATAGAAAATTAAGCTGTTATATTATCTTCTTGTATTGACTGGATATTTTTGGCTGCTACGTCATCTGATTCAAATTGAATAGATTCATTCGTAATTAGTTTATTTTCGTCAAGAATAGTTGTTGTTGCTGTTTGCACTTTTTGTTCATCATCATTAGATGATGATGATGATGGAATTGAAAGAGATGTAGGCGATGAAAGAATTTCTGGACTTGATATTGGTTTGATTTCAGTAGCTGTTTGATTACTATCATTATCAATATTAGATAGTAGTTTATGAGCAAGTTCATATTGACTATCATTGGTATTGGTGTTTGTTGTAGGAGGACTTGAACATTGAGGCGGTAGATGGACAATATCATTGGATTGATTTTGATCAATATTTTCCATAAGTAAATTTATATTCTAGAATAATAAAAGCAAAAAAATGTAAATAATAATTATAAAAGAAAACAAAATGAATAAATTTAAAAATCACTTGATTATCTGTACTTGTCCATGAATTTTCAATTGAACGCACTTGCCTAAAAATATAAAACAATTATTACCATTATATTATCTTTTCATTTCAAGAGCAACTAATTTAATGTTAATAAATATTGAATGTATGACTTTCTTTTGGAATTAAAATGCTTACTTGTCGTCATTGTCAGAACGATCAGTAGTTAGTGTTGATGATGATGAGTTTGTTTTACGATTATCAAGATAAGAAAGACTTTTAGGTGGTGTTGTTGAATTTAGTTGCTGTGATCTTCTATGCCTAAATTCGGCTTCATCTCGAGCTGCTCGTCTAATTATAAAAATAAAAACATATGAATGAATAGTTTTATTTTATACGAACAATTCAAGTTGAAGTTCAAGTATAATATTTTCCATTTGCATAATTTCACTTTCACGTTCACTTTTTAATGTATCATAACGAATTTTCATTTGTTGTAATTCTCGATCACGATGTTGCAAAAGTTCTTCAAAATATTTCTGAAAAAGAAAAAGAAGACTTCTAATTGAATGAAATTTTCAATTAAGATTTACTCGTTGTTCAACTTCAAGTTTAAATTTATCCAATGGTACCATTTGACATTCAGATGAATTTAATGATGTAATTTCATTATTACTTGTTACGATTGATGATGATTGTTTATTTTCTTCATTATTATTTTGATTTTTAAGTATTTGTTTAATTCTTTTAAAAATTCGATTCAATTAATAATTTTTTGCTTGAATTTTTGAAAAAGAAAATATCTTACTGTTTTGATTTAAAACATAAAAATGGTGTTAAATCAATCACATCTATTTCAGCATCATTCAATAGTATAGGAGCAATTATTGGAGTATCTTGTTTAAAACAAAAACTAAAAAAGTTAAATTATTTCTATAAAATATAAATTAATGATGAAAAAAAAAGATAATTTCAATACCTAAAATCAATGGTATTTAATCCAGCTAATTGATCACATAGGATAAATGCTTGTGATGACATCATAATTGAATCATCGTGATAGAATTTTCTACGAAAAAGTTGATAGATTTTTAAAATTTTCGATAATGTTTTTAACATACCGAACAAGATGACTATCAGAAATAACGAGTTTTAGAAGTTCAGGAAGTTGTTTTTCCATTAACGCAAACTTGATCCATGCTCGACCCTAGAATATAACAGAAACCATTTAAACTATACATTATTATATGATGAAAAAAATCAACTTAAATACATGAGCAACTCCATTCATTAGCAATCTGATTTCATCAAATAAAATATACTTATATCGCTAAATTTATGTAGAAAATATATATTGAGTAACTCTGAAAAATTCAGTTCGATAGATTTTAATTCCGCTAATTTATTATTGAAAAACCAGCATTAGTCACATGATTGAAAAAGGGCAAAAATTTTTCATTGCATAGATTTCCATTTACAAATCTTGTAAGTTCGAATTTTATTTTTGAAAATTCGATAGTGTGTTTTGTAGACAACAACTCCTAAGGCTACAAAATCTCTACGCAAAGTTATTCCTGGAGACATACTTGGGTTTTTCAAAAGTTGAGTTTATTCGATGCTAGCAACATGAGTGAATACGAATATAAAAGTAAAAAATCCTCTTGTAACGAAATGAGAAGTCTCAAAAACCTATTCCAAGCGGTATAAATCCTTCTTGGAGGTTGTTACATGAATGCAAAACAAAATATCTTGTTCTGAAAAATCAGTCTTTGAAGTCCGCTCTTGTTGAAAATTGCACCATAGAAACAGTTTATAGCGTGGTGTCTATTCTGATATTCTTGAACTTTTTTTTCGTAATATTAGAAGGTTATTCATTAATTACACTTTAATTAATTAATCTTAATTAGATGTAAGCTGAAAGATCCAATATTTTTACATATGTTCATGCGAAAAGTGCTTGTTCAAAAAAAACCTGATAAAGAATCAAATTCAAATCGAAGATATTCATGTCCCATTATCGGTGATTTTATCTGTATGTTGTTATATATCGCTTTATTCGAATATTAATACTATCGCCTTTGTTTTTCAAAAGCTTTCAATAGTATCATTGAAACTCATTAAAATGTATATGTCACAGATAAATTTAAACTTTAAGTAAAAATGAATTTTGACAGATTTTGTTTTTAATTAAATGCAAAGTTATGAAATAATTTCTTTTATTTAAAAATAAGTTCTAAGTTTCATTTCCATTCATAAAAAATAATACGTATTTATTATTTTTAAGTCGACAGGACATTCATTTTCACTCTTCATATTCTAATTTATGCATGAATTACTTTTATATCGACATCAGAAAATGATGTTCGAAAGTATTTTTATGAACAAGTAAATCACTGTATTTATTTTTTAAGCATCAAATTTTGATAGAAGACTTTCAGGGAATACATAAGCGAAAAAGTCCTTCATTGTTTGTAGTTGAAACGTAACTTAATATATACTTAACAACATAATACATTCATACTTTAAATATTACTATGAGCAAGGTTAAATTTGAAGGCTAATAAACAGAGATAAAAAATACTATTCAAACAAACACAATCGTAAAGATCTTTTAGTTTTTTTTTTTTTTTGGTTGGAGCTTGCTAGAGCAAACTAGACTTTAGATGAGAACGCTAGAGAATTTTACAACTTCTTTGACTCAACTAAAGCTAAACATAACTTACAGGGATGTCCCAACCGAGGACCAATAGGATGCTCCCCAATCTTGAAAATTTTCGTTTTTCTCTAGTGCAACTCTAATAGTTTCTAGTTTCTCTGTTGTTCACTAAATCAAAAAATAGCTGGGCTCCGCTTCTTCTAAATTTTACTGAACTTAAGCAAAAATCTTAGAATCAGTCTCTTGAATCATCAAACTTCTTCATTCTGGCGACCTTTAGACACCTCGGATAATTTTGTTCGATTTTTTTTTGCTTTGAAATCTTGGAAAAATTCTGTTTAGTTTGGGTCTAAATCTGAACTTTGCCTGACCACATATATTTATTTACTCAAAGTGATTTATTCTCTTTTGCCATTATTTTGATATTCAACCAAAATAGATTCCCCAATACAATATTTTTTTTAGAATAAAAGTGTTAATTAATGAATAATAAAATTAATAATTGAATGTTGTCAGAAAAAAAAAATCATTGTTGTTTATGAGTTTCAGTTCTTTTTGAATAGTAAGAATCTTGTTAATGTCCTACAGATAATCTCTTTTGTCTTGACGAAAACAACACAAATCATTTATTTGTATAATACCTTCTCTTTTAAACTACGTGTATTTGATATTTCTTCTACACGTTCAATGACTAAAAAACGAAATAAATAAGCATAATCTTCATGATTATGTTACTCACTAGATTGTCGGCAAGAACCAATACATGCTGGTCGAATAAAATCCCAAAAATAATGTCGTTCTGATAGCCAAGTTCCTATTGAATAACAACAAAGTTTTGTTTTTTTATTAAAACATTTCTTTTTCTCATTACCTTGCATACGAAAACTCAGAACACGTTCAAGTGTTACGATAAAATTCGTTACATCAGCATTACGATCATCAAGAACTGGTAATGAAGTTGCTGATAACGATCGATCAATTAAGGCATTCAATGTTAATCTAATTAAATATAAATTCTGTTTTTTTTTAATTAAGTCCAAAAATAACAGACAAACTTACTTAATTAAACAAAGTAAATTTGCTTTTTCTCGTTCTATATTTATACTTTCACTATAATTTAGTGTTGCCATACAGTATCTAAAAATATTTTTCCTATATTGATGATGAATATATAATAAAAACTGCGATAATTATTGTATATTTATATAAGAAAAAAACTAATAAACATTAGGATGACATCTTCTGTTAGAATACTGAGAAAAAAAAGAAGAAAAAAGGATGGAATACATAGTATGAGTATAAGTGCTGAGCATTGAATCACTGACATAGTATACACTAGGACACTGATTAGACTGACATTGGCGTTCACTGAAAGCATTAGCTACACTAACATTCGAGTTTACTGCAACATTGAGATACCAACTCTATCAATATATGCCATTTTTTTTGTAGCAGTGTGATCCAATAACTGAGTGAACAATTATACTAGTATGCACTAACTACACTGATTTGGCAATCAAAAAACCTAAAACTGAACATTCATAACATGATATAATCAACAGATATACACAAAGAGGAACAAAAATTAATTATAGATGTCACATATAATATATGTGTCGACACTTATTTAGACAGTATTTTATTATCGGTATACGTTAGCGTATTAAAATTATATATTTGAACATTCGACATCATACAAAAATAAATAAGAATTTCGACGAATAAGAAATTATTTTAATGTTCCAAAAACAAGATAGTTTAGATTTCAATATTAACAATGGTTAGAATTTTTTCATATTAGTTTCGAATCAATTAACAAACATGAAAAGTTTTTTTTTTTTACGATTACATAAATTAGAATATTCATTCCATTATTTAATAATTTATTTTTAGTCTTTTTTTCTCTCTTGTTATAATTCAATCGGTTCTCAGATATGATATTCATAAAATATTTGTTAATATATTACATTTAATAATCTTATTGTTTTATAAATTTGATCTTGATAAATATATATAATCAACAGAATGATCTTTTGTATGAGTAACATTCTTCTGGACTCTTCTGTATATCACTATATTGTTATCTGCTTGTAGAATTTTCAAAGATTTATTTTTTTTTCAAAACTAATTTCGACTTTCAATGATTAATTAATAAAAAGCTTGAAGTTTACAACAAACCATTATGTATTGTCAAATTATGCTTGAATATTTTGTATAGAAAAAATTTTGTTTTTTGTTATTAATGCAGATGAATCTAATCTTGCTCATATCATAGTTAATTAAAATATATTTATAAAACATATTTGTTTTCAGCATATGTCAACCATAATAATATATTTCATTCAACAAATATCTAAAATAATTCAAAACAAAAAAAAACTTTTTTCAATAATCATAACAGATTAATCTTATTTTCATTCATTATTGTCTGTCGTTTTCAAAAGACACAATGAATCATTTTTCTAACTATACCCTACTTCATCAGTCAATGCTTTTCATAAAGGCGATGCTACCATCAGCAATAGACGATTAAAAAAAAGCCCAATTAAAAATAATACGATCAATGTAACAATTGTCATCAATCATGAAAAGGACATAGAAATTCTTTTTTATGCATCACTATACTTCAAAGTCAAAATGTGCAAACTATCCTACTCAGCAGGATAGGTTATGGGTAAAGATTCTACGATCATAAGGATGGAACTTCAACGGGGTAGAGTAGCGTAAGGGTTGAGATTTTCCAAGCTAGGATACAATAATGGTTATAGAATTCTTCTCGATCCGAGTACGAAAAACACTTAAGGATAATTTTTTTCAGATCTTAATACAAAGCACTTATCATTTCGTGTCTAGTAATTTTAATCTCTTCTTAAATTAAGATGGATTAATTGAAAATGGTATGGACAAAGTTAAATGTTCGAATATGTTAACAACTGTAATAGTAAAATATAACAATCATTTTGTTTATTAATTGAAATTGGATAAAATTTACGTCGAAAACTATGGTATCAAATTTTTCTCAAGTATAGTTTGTTGAGAAAAATAAAAGCTATTTTTCATATGAAACTTTTGTGTAAATCGATTAGAAGTACTAATTCAACTGATAAAGTTTCGTAGCTATAATATCCTTCTTATTGTGAAAAATATTCATTTTTGTATACTCAAAAAGTGAGTACACTCTAGAATTAGTCAGTATGTCCGGCCGTAAACACGATAACTTTCGAAAGGAGAGTCAGATCGCGATGAAATTTTCTACACAGTTCTGTCTCGGTCGAGTTCGAAGATGCGAAAGATCCGTCAAGAAATGGCTGAGTTATCGAAAAAATTGTCATTATTGACCGGACCATCCCTGAGGGGGGGGGGGGGGGGGAGGCGGGGGTTTTTTAAAAGAAAAAAATTTATCAGAATTTTTACCAGGAAAA